CTAATGCACTATTCCTCAGTCTTCAAGAAAGCTTCAGTGACAGGGAAAAAGGGAGGGATGGCCGTGAAGAGATTAAGAACTTGACCCCTCTACCCTGGCCCCTAAAAAGCAAGAGTTATTAACTGGGCCTGAGGGAAAAAAAAGACCTCGATATTTTGCCCTCTGAATTACAGCTAGTAGGAACAGGTAGGAGAAAGGAAAAAGGGGGCGTGGGATGAAAAAGAGGGGACTTTTGATGGCTGGAGGTCTAGTCCATTTAGTTTTTATACTGGAAGGGCTCGTCGCCAGTTTCGTGGAGAAGACACGTGCGGATGAGGGCTTCTGTCACCGAGTAGGGATCACAGTTGGCAGAGGGGCAGCAGTCTTCAAAGTAATCCTTCTTCTCCTGGCCAACAGTCCGAGGAATGCGGATGCTGGCGCCACGGTTGGCTTTACAGTCGTTGATGTTGGAGGTTTCGTGGAATCCAGTCAGGCGCCTGGCATTGTCCAGGCCTCCTTTGGGATCGTAGGCGCGGATGTGGTTTTTTTTTAAAAAAAAAATTTCTGCTGCTACATCTATAAAACCTTATGAGTCTCTATGACTTGAGGTCAATTTGATGACATCACAGACTCTTTTGTCTTGTTTTAATGTGTAGGTATAAAGAAAGTGTGACAGGAGATAAGTCTTGAATATCAAATAATCTGAAGTCAAATCTTAAAGGGCTTTGTGACACCATTCTAAAAATAAGAAAAAATCATAGGTTTAAGGCAGGAGAGTAGCTGACCATATAATTATAAAGTCATTCGAGTGGCTTTGCAGATGCCAGTGCCAAAAGGAGTGACATTGTGTGAGGAAAACTTGTTGAAATACAGACTATTTTAATAATTGATAACTGTCTTTACATTTAGTGACAGTATAGACTGATAAGAATATGCAAGCTTTCTAGTAATTAAAGGTTTGTGGCACTATTAATTAAAGCTAAAAATTATAATACTTGCTAATGTACTTTATCTATGCTGGATATTTCTACATTTTTTTTTCATATAGCAAGCAATTTAGTCTTTACAACCTAAAACAAAATATTATAATTATCTCCTCCAATTTTACTATAGGGATCTCTGGTGGCCTAGGGGGTAAGAAGTTGCACTGCTAATAAAACATATGAGATTTATCCACAGAAAAATATAGTCAATCTCTTTCCAAATAAAATTGTCAGTTCTGACTCGACAGAACATAACAACTGTGAAAATTATACTATTGCAGAAAAAAAGATATACAGAAACTTAAACAATGTAACCAAGATTACGAAATTATATGAATACTAGTGATGTCAACCCAAATTCTTTGTCTCTAGAAATGTCATTATTGGCCAATCTACTACATAAATTGTATGTAGTAGATTTTTTCCACTGCCTGTACAACTCTTTCTCACACACTTTGGGAACATAGCCAAAAGGGACCATCCTTGGAGAAGGACATTATGCTTGAAAGAGTGGAATGATATTGCAGCAGAGGAAGACTCTAGATGAAACGAATTGACACAGTAAATGGGCTATGTGGTTAGATGTGTCAGAGTCAAACTGGCTCAGAATAGGTCAGGGTTCAGTGCTATTTATTGTGCATAAGGCCACTATGAGTGGTGGGCAACTCAATGGCACATAACAACAATGGGAAGAAGCTGTGCTGTTATAAAAAGAGCAAGGGCCATGTTTTGTCAGCCATATCTGACCTTTATCACCAAAGAGGACCTATCCCTGTCAACAGCATCAATGACACAAAACCAATTCACATGAGGTCACACATGTCGCTCATGTTCTACACCTCTTTCTATTCATTTCACTACCAATCTTACTTCTTTACTGGGCCTAAAATGCAATGCAATAGCTCACAGACCACAGAACAATATTAGGGGAGACAAAAGGTTATAATCTAGATTTATAACAGAATAGTGTCAAGACAGTTCCTGAAATGTATACACAGGCACCTCAGCCCCAAGCTTTGTGGCTCTAGACCATTGTTTCCAAGTTCTCAGTGCTTACAATATTTGATTTTCCTCTCCCCTAAAGGCCTTATCTCATGTAAAGTATCCAGTTCAGCCTTAAGTGTTTCTATGGTGAAGGTAGAGCAAGAAAGGAATCCTACATCTTATTGTTGTCTCTTCAATGGCGCCAGAAGGTCTGTCTCTCTCTCCCTCTCACTTGTTCAATTCAATGGCAAAACTAGCCAATCCCCTTGTGGAATCTGAGACTGGCTAATCTCCTTGTGGAAAGGTGAATAGCCAATCACTTGGTGGATAGGCTAGCGTGTACTATTTACATATTTCTGCCCCCCTACTTAGCATCATCTCTCCTTAATACAGTAACTACTTCAGCATAAAACAAACAATCTTTGGTCTAGGAAAGACAATTTTGAATAACAAAATTTGTTGTTGTTGTTGTTAACCCTATGAAGGAAAGTCCTCAACACTTGTGGGACTTTCATCCTTTCTCCAAGTTCATAGAGTTTCCTGAGGCAAGCTATTACGGAAGAGGATGCCACTCCTGTTTCCAAGCTTGTTTTAATTGGGGTGCACCACCAAACACTGTCCATCATGGGTAACCATTAACACATTTGACATATGAGTGTCACAGTGTTCACCTTCACAGCAACCACAAGTTACCACTGTATGGCAAGTGGACACACCAGGGCTATACCACCTAGAAGAATGTTTGAACAAAAACAATGAAAAATGGGCCTGAGGGCCACAGGCTATCTGTGATCTCAAAGACATATGGTTCAAAACCACCACCTTCTCTACAAGAGGACAGGGGACAATATCCTCTAGTGTGATTCATTGCATTTGAAAACCCACTGGAGATGTCAGTTATAGATTGGTTCTGATCTGACAGCACGCAACATAATGTCAACTATATAAATACAGAATACAGAACTCATGTAGAGCACACTTTTCAATATTTTGATTCAGTCTTTGAGACCTTAAAAAAATTTTGCATCATTGCAAAAATTTCAGTGTCATTTCTGAGAAAAATTGCATTTACATTGCATTTACTTAGAGAAAGCTTCTTACATTAATTAGAAATGTACATGTAGTTCCTGAATCAGTTCTTACAAAAGTAGCATTGTTCTTCTAGGTCATTTTTCATTACATTTATAGAGCACCCCTAAAGGATTTTAACATATGTAGTATTGTGATTCTGTTAATTGAAACAAGTCAGTTGGTGTCCCATTGATTCCTGGAGCCTTATTTTTTGCCAATGTCTTAATTGCAGCTTCCACTTTCTTATTCATTGTCATTGGCTCCTGTTCATATGGTACTTCCTGAAATGTTTCCGTGTCAATCAGTTCTTTTTGGTACTGTAGTTCTGTGTATTATCTCCCTTTGATGCTTTTTGGGTCATTCAGTATAGTGCCTCTAGCATCTTTCAATATTGCAACTCGAGGTTTAAGTTATTTTTCAGTCTCAGTTTGAGAAATGTGGAGATAGTTCTTCCCTTTTTATTGTTGAAATTCAGCTCTCTTCACATTCCATGACAATACTTTTCATAATCATATCAAGCTGCCTTGCTTTTTTTACTTCAGAATATTTTCTCATTATTTTGGCTTTTCAACATTACAGTGCAAGTTTTAGAGTCTTTTCAGACATACATATAAGTTTTGGGTTTGGTTTTGTTTTTTTCTCTCTCTCTGTTTTTTTAATGGTCTTCTGCTTTCTTCATGGACGATATCCTTGATATCATCCCACACTCATTTGGTTTTTGATCATTGGTTTTCAATGCCTCAAACCTATTCCTAAAATGATTTTGAAATTTAGATGGATTAGATTAAAGGTAATATTTTGGACCTTGTGGATTTTTTAAAGTTTTCTTTTGTCTCAATTTGAACTTGTATGAGTAATTGGTAATCTGACACTCAATTCTCCCTGAGTTTAGTTCTGACTGCAGATATGGAGCGTCTCCAATGTTTTCTTCCTCAGATGTAGATAATCTCATATGCAGGCCATCAGGTGAGACATAAATGTAAAGTTATCATTTGTGTCTTTTTTAAAAGGTATTTGCAATGAATAAATCATTGTAAATATAAACTTCTATCATTCTATTTCTAACCTCATTTCTCCCATCAAGCCAATATTTTTCAACTATATGGACTGCTCCTTCCACCCACACATAGAGTTTAACAAAGAATGCCGACACAGCTAGCCTTCAGATGGGTGCTATTGATAATCCCTTAAAATAAAATAGGCTAACCACGGTGGCACTGATGTGTCAAATGCCATAATGGTTACTCCTGGTGGACAGTGTTTAGTGGTTGTTGTTGTTATGTGCCATCAAGTCACCTGTGACTTTCAGTGACCCTATGTAAAAGAGTCTAAACCTTGCTCTGTCCTGTGCTAGTCTCACTGTCTCTGATACACCCACTCCCATTACTTCAGTCACTGAATCAATCCACCTAATAGAGGGTGTTCCTCTCCTGCGCTGTCCCTCCACGCCTCCCCCTCAGAGCATGACGTCCCTCTCTAAGGACTGGTCCCTCCTTGTAACATGTTCAAAGCATGTCAGATGAAGGTTCAGAATCCTTCCCTCCAAGGAGCAGCCCGATTTAACCTTCTCCAGGTTGAATCTGTTCGTTTTCTTAGCAGCCCATGGTATATTCAATACTCTTCTCCAGGATAATAGCTCAAAAGCGTCAATTCTCCTTCTATCCTCTCTAGTTATTGTCCAGATCTCTGATGCATATCAAGTGATGATGAAGACCATGGCCTGTATCAGGCGCACCTTAGTCTCCAGAGAGACACCATTGCTCTTCAGTGCTCTGGAAAGATCCCTAACAGCAGACTTTCCCATGGCAATATGTTTTTTTTAGTTTCCTGGCTGCTGGTGTCGAGACTGTTGACTGTGAAGCCAAGCAAACTAAAGCTGTGAACAATCTCAATCTCTTCACTATCCATCCTAATGATGCCAATTGGTCCAGTGGTAAGAATATATGCCTTCTTGATATTGAGCCTTAATCCATATTGAAGTCTGCAGTCCTTAACCTTCTGTAGCAAGCACTTCAGGTCCTCCTCAGTTTCAGCAAGCAGGGTTGTGTCATCTGTGTAATGTAGATTGTTGATGAATCTTCCACCAATCCTTATGCTACACTTCTCTTCATAGAGCCCAGCCTCCTGGATAATCTGTTTTGAATATATAGTTTGAAAAAGTGTGGAGATAGGACACATCCCTGTTGTATCCCCTTCCCAATTTTGAACTATGCAGTGTTTCCTTGTTCTGTTCTGGTGACTGCCTTCTGTTCCAAGTATAGGTTTTATGTTAGCACTATCAAGTGTTCTGGGATTCCCATTTTTCTCAGAGTCAGCCACAGTTTGTTGCCTTTACATAATCAATGAAACATAGATATTCCTCTGGTTCTCCCTGCTTTCAGCCGAGATCCATGTAACATTAGCTACAATATCCCTAGTTCCATGACCCCTTCTAAACTCAGGCTTGAATTCTGGCAGTTCTCTGTTGATGTGCTGTTTCAGTCGTTTTTGGATAATCTTCAGCAGAATTTTGCTTGCATGTAATATCAATGATGGAAA